CCTCTTTAACAAATCGACGAATGTGCCTGTTGCTGTTCATGGCTAAATATCACACATTATTAGGTATTTCACTTGCACAACTCATGGTGTTACTCACCTGTTGACGACACTTCAGATCACAACAAAATATAAAACTTTAAATGTACAATAAGACAAATTAAATACAATGTTTACAAAATTTGGCGCAAACGTTGGGTTAGTGATGGTAGCGGGGTTGGGTAGTTATGGCAATCCGTTACGATTAATATTGCGACTACCGATATCGTATAATCGATGGCAATAAAAACATTCGCTAATATTATTTTTGTTTAGTTCTATGTATATAAAATTAGGTACTTATATATTTACTTTATATATCTAAGCACCAATAAAATCCGCTTGTTATGGAAGGAAGGAAAACGTTTTGCTACTGAACCACCGCTATTGTTAAAAATATTGCTGCAGCATTTTTAGCGAAAATTACCTCACGAACAAATAACGGGACTTCTTATTAATATTACTCTAAATACATTGTCGACACGATAAGGGGAGACGACTACATTTATTTGGAATTTTTGTCGTGACGTCATATATGAGATTCGACGAGTTCGTCACATTACCCTACTAGTCAAATTACCCTACACTCCCCTACTGTTAACCAATTTATGGTTACAGCTGTTAAAATACACTCAAAAAAATATTTTCACGAAAAACTAAAAATTAATCTCTAAACCATCAAGTGATTGAATTTCACTAGTACTTGACGATGCCTAATGCCTAACTTGACGCTCTCCTAATTTAGTATCCAATCAATAGGCGCGGTCCTTAGAGAATTTCTGATAATTATTATGTAATCAAATACAGTAAATGATAATTAAATGGAATTAAAACAAACTTACTTTTTATGAGGCAAGTCGCCCACTCTAGGACTTGAACACGGGACCTTTGGATTTGTAGACACACTAACTGATTGAGCCATACACGCATAACATTTTGTAATGCCCTAACAAGGTTTATGAATTTTAGTGTGACATAATTCATAAACAGTGATTTTTCACATATATATTGCCTCGGACAGATTAAACAAAGTTTAAAATAAAATTAAAACATCACCTAGCAAACAAAAAACAAAAAAAAAATGTACAGAGACTGGGGATTGAACCGAGGACCTCGAGTGTTTGATTTGTTTAGTGCTAAATTTCCCAAGACATTTACACTCTAGGCTATATTTTTGGATCATATGTGTTTAATTTGCAACTAGTTAAATTCCAGTTGCCTTTTAACTAGACCCTAACATGTTTTAAGAATTTTTTTGTCAGAAAGGTACTAGTCCGAGACAAGTTTCTTTTTTACTAGTTTTGTATTAATCATTTTTTCGACTAGCACAAATTTTCTAGACCCTGTGTAGTCCAAATGCATTCAGACAAATTCCGGTTGCTTTATATTTGTTGTATAACTAGTTGTTTTTCAGACTAGTTCGCATTTTTCCTGCAGGGAGTCAACTGGCCTGTCAGGACTTGGCTGAAAAACAATTATTTTCCTATTTCTATTTTTTTTAATTTTTCCAATAAACGACCAATTTATAAAATACTATAATACAACTAAGGAAGTTACCTTCGGTCAGCCGAAGTTTATATACCTTTTCAGGTATGCCTATTTAATATGTTGTTTTTAACTTATTAAAAACCAAAACGCCTCCTTCCTACAAAATTATAATGTTTTTTCTATTATTTTTGATTATTCCTATGGGAGCCACCCTGTAGTTCGCCGGGACTGGTCCCGAACTAGCGAAATCGCCATACACCGGGGGCTTGGGACTAACTCCCGTTCATACCACCCGCAATGTAAATTTCTATCCACTTTTACCACGGCATGTCCTAGGCGGTGGTCATATGGCGAAGTTCTGCATTACCTTTCGCCACAAAAGGGACCGATAGGTGGTCCCATATTATACCCCTTTTTGCCACAAAAGGGGCCACCTATCGGACCATCTATCGGACCACCTATCGGTCCCTTTTGTGGCGAAAATGGGTATAAAATGGGGTTGGTGTTTTCAATACCAAAAAAGCTGAATGCTATGAAACTTCCCAAGAAAAAATACTTTTTGTTAAATTATTTATTGTATTATAAGTAGACAATTTTTCTATTTTTTTAATTTATATTTATTGAACAAATTCCTCTGCTGACACGTTTTTGTTGAGTGCCTCATTGTTGTTATTATTTGATTTGGATTTATTTTTAAAAAATCGTTTCTTTTGCAATTGAATTGCCTTGGGAATCAATATTTCTGCATTACCAGATCCTGAAACAATATCTAAAAAAATTAAGATTTTAGTGTTTTAAAATAAAATGAGAACAGAAAATAACTTCGGCAAGCCAAAGTTTTAATACCCTTGCAGCTTTCAGGAATAAAATTGTGACTAGAAAAGCATAAATATAAAATAAGAATAACCAACAGTTAAATGTAGACTTATTTCACGCTTTTGAAACTTGAACCGACAGACAGACGGACATGGTTAAATGGATTTACTTTATAGGTTTGAAAAGGTCTCCATTACTGCGTAACAAACTTCTGGACTAAATTATAATTCCCTCTGCATGGGTTTAAATATATATTTTTAGATTTTGTTATACAAGCCTGTTTACATCAAACCATGTTTTAAGATTTTGTTATAAAAGCCTGTTTACATCAAACCATGTTTTAAAAGTGAAAAGCAGAAAAAGACAGAAAGAAATAGGATTAAAGACAGATGGCATTCTAAGTAAATAGATTGAAATTGAATCAAGAAACTAAGTGTATTATAAAAAATACAGTTATAAAAATAACCTACCGTGAAGTGCACCATAGAAATGTGTAAAGGAGTTTACGGCTTTTTTTCCAGAAAGGCCTTTAACATTAAATCCCACAACAAACTCATCCGTGAGAACCCTCCGCAAGTTTTTTAAACCCCCTTCTGGCAGCAACAACGATCTCATGGCTTTAATCTAAAAAGGAAGAAAATTTCACTAAAATATTTATATCAAAGAAAAAAGACTTACGTAGGAGTCCTTTGCACCACTATTTCTCCTTCTCCTCTTTAACAAATCGACGAATGTGCCTGTTGCTGTTCATGGCTAAATATCACACATTATTAGGTATTTCACTTGCACAACTCATGGTGTTACTCACCTGTTGACGACACTTCAGATCACAACAAAATATAAAACTTTAAATGTACAATAAGACAAATTAAATACAATGTTTACAAAATTTGGCGCAAACGTTGGGTTAGTGATGGTAGCGGGGTTGGGTAGTTATGGCAATCCGTTACGATTAATATTGCGACTACCGATATCGTATAATCGATGGCAATAAAAACATTCGCTAATATTATTTTTGTTACGTTCTATGTATATAAAATTAGGTACTTATATATTTACTTTATATATCTAAGCACCAATAAAATCCGCTTGTTATGGAAGGAAGGAAAACGTTTTGCTACTGAACCACCGCTATTGTTAAAAATATTGCTGCAGCTAAATTGCTCATTATTAAATATAAATAATATAAAAAGAAATAAAATTCTATCATTTATTATTTTATTTTATCTCATTATTAAGTTTTTATTTTATTATTTTAACTTTTTTTAAATTTGTTTTTTATATAAACAAAATAAAGTTGTATTCGTTATTAAAATCATTATATACTTGTCAAAAATTTCATTTTACAATTTTTTTTAACTCATATAGAAGTGTTCACATAGAAGTGTTCACTCTCCGATAACTCTTTTGCTCTTGTAAAAAATACACACGCCACCTATTGACCCTTAAGGGACCACTGGGTGGTCGATCCCTTTTCTACCCCGAAAGTGCCACCGGCCCCCTTGAGAACTACAGGGCATATAGTGGTCCGATCCTGCAATAGAAAGAAGACTTTTGGGAAAGTTTAATCGCGATAGGATTAAACCTGAAAGACTAATTCGCATAGAAACGGACAGAGGAACATGGCTAGATGGACTCGGCTTTTGATGCTGATAAAGAATATATATACTTTATGTGGTCGGAAACGTCTCCTTCACTGCGTTGCAAGCTTTTGACTGAAATTATAATACCCTCTGCAAGGGTATAACAACGATGCATATCGGGAGTGTTGGGCTGTTCCTGAAGTATCAGAGAAATTATTGTGGTGCTTTACATTTGGGTAATTAATTGTCAACAATCTACTTCTTTGACCGCAGCTGTATGTTTATACCCATTATTCGTAGAGTAAAAGGGTATATTGTATTCGTGCAAAAGTATGTAACAGCTAAAAGGAAGCATATTCTGGATTAGGGTCACTAGACGAGTCGATTTAGCCGTGACCGTCTGTCTGTCTGTATGAACGCTGAGATCTCGGAAACTACAAAAGCTAGAAGGTTATGATTTTCCACACATATTCTTGGGCTTCCTACGCAGCGCAAGTTTATTTCAGCCGAGCGCCACGACCCCTCTTACGCCCGCAATCGCCCACTAACGATTTCAAAATGAGTCTGGCGCCCACACCATTAAAGATTTCCGAGAAGTACAAATGCAATTTTGTTGTGTATATTTATACCTATCGAAATGTAGAAGATATTTTATCAAAACGGACAATTCATTAAAAAGTTATGCGCAATCAAAACAATTTTATATATCTATCTCCCTCGCACTCCCTTTAGATGAGTAACGGGTATTATATAGTCGGGACACCAACCCGACTATAGCGTTTTCTCTTGTTTTATGTTCAAATTGCGGAATTCGGACCTCATTGGTGTTTTAATGTTTCAATTTAACATTTAATCATTGTAAATATCCTCTTTGTATTGTGATGCCGATTTTATAGGGAAATTTTTCAGAGGATGAACGTGCCAAACAATCATTAAACCGTATTGCTGTGTCGCTACTCAGTCGCTTATCGAAATAATTATTATCAGTTAATAGCGTTGTGCCCACATGACGTGCGACATGCAATCGACGTAAGCAATAACTTCGAGCTTTAAAATTAAGAATTAATCGGAGAGTCATTACAATAGGACGTTGCTTTTATTATTTTGCTCACAAGTTTCAACGTTATTCTATACATGCAGCCACCCCTGGCAAATCACTTAAACATTATTCTTAGGTAACAGTTTCAAGAGGCTATCAAAAATAGTAGTTGCTGGTTAGTTGATTAGTAGCTTACTGCCGTTGGGGTGACGTTTAGGGACAAACACACTGCATTGGGGCTTCACAATTATGATTTGAAAGCAATATAAATATGTATCGAAAATATTAAGACAATAGTATAATAGGACAAGTATTACACACTAGATTCAATAGGCTTTCCTACTTATGAGGTAAAACAAATTTAAAGCGCTCGAGAGTGCTAACAGTATTGCAATAATACCAAAAACTATATACACGTCTACGTTTCCTTTATCTAATCGTTGGAGATTAGTAGGTGCTGTGCAATTCGTCGCTCCCTTCAATTCTTCCTCGTCCGATGTAAACGTCTGTACGATTTATATATACATAAAAAACCGGTTTAGGTCTAACGCTGAGATTACATTCATGGCAGGAAACCTTGAATAGCATCGATTGCTTAGGAGGCTAGACCGCGCTGGCGGCGCTTTACGCGGGCGTATGGTCCCACGGCTGGGTCCATGATGAAGTCGTAAAGTACCCGGGTCCAGCTGGTGTGCTGGGGCATTGTGTCGTAGAATTCCTTTGCGATGCGCTTAACCTCGGGCAGCCTGGAGCCGGGTACCGCCGGAAAGTCGTGATGCTCATTGTGGTAGCCGACATTAAAGGTGATCCAATTGAGCGGGCCGTAGTAGGAGTAGGTTTCAAATCCCTTAGCGAACATGTAGTGCTCCGAAATAAAGTGTCCGGCCACCGGGTGCAATCCCATGGCAAGAATGCTACCGATCAACAAATACGCTAGAGGCTTCCAGCCCAAGAAGTAAACAATGAGCGCGTTGAAAGTCAGCTGCACCACGGTGTTGATTATTTCCAGGCGCGTAGGTGGCTTCGGGTTTATCACCAGTGGACGGAAAATGTAGAAGAAAGGCTGCAAGCACACCCACAAAAACTTTCCAAACGTGGTGTCAAAAAGGCGCGCCTCCAGCAGTGTGGGTATGTCAGTGTCGATTGCCTCATCACCTTGGTAACTGAAAGAGCAAAATAAATATTTTACTACCAAGGAGTACAACAAAAATTAGTATGTGCCTTTAGCATGAAGTTGTGTTCAATGATTTCACTTATCTCGTTCACAAAACTAGTTAAAAACAGACTTATATTTTTTATTTTAGTGGTATTGACAAAGTTCGAGTTTTTTACTCAACTTTAAGTAATAAAAACTATTCTATCGAAATCAAATCTTACTACTACTACTTAGTTTTGTTTCAGAGGACCAGGATTAGCCCCAATCGAAAATTCTTACTGGGATCAAAACGTTGTTGAACGACTTCTATGATCCACCCAACGGTGCACCTGAGCGATTAGATAAACCTTATCTGCGTCAACGCGTTTAGTGAATGGGAGTGACTGTAAACATAGACACGCATACATATATTTTGCAGAAAATATTTGTTTTGCCTTAAGAACTATAATTCGATAGGGAACTTTTTCCAAACCCAATGGTTGTGACTCAACCTAACTCGCCTTGCAGCCTGAATCTCGAGTGGCAAATCGCTGAGCTACGTGACCAATTGAGCGCCTATTTGGATATACATATCACTACAGCCTTATCTTATCGACGCAATTTAGAGCCATTCGATGCCCAGCAAAAGGAAATAACAAGGAAATTGACTCAGAAACTTTTTTGTCGAACGTAATGAAATGGATGCAGTGTTGGGCAACGCATGCCGGCGATTTAATGGGAAAATTAAACCGGGGTTCGACGAACGGGATGTTTTCACAATTTGCTGTGACTACGCCCCAGTAAGAACAAATATAGCCATGTATGTGTGAAAGTGTACGACGTCATGGATTTGAATTAAACAACACGTACCGGTGATGTTCCAGATGGTACTTCTTAAAAGAAATGCTCATGGGCAAGCCAATGGGCAGGTTACAGATAAAGCCCAGGATCCGATTATGAAGGGGTCTGCTGTGACCGAATGCCAAATTGTGCGAAATTTCGTGCACGGCAAGCATCAGCGAGTGGTTGATGATGCCCCCGAAGCTGTAAGCGGCCACGAGGAGCCACGACCACGACAGGTCCTTAACGACGAACAGCGCCAGGATCTGGGTGAGCACCATCGCACCGGCCACCCATTTGAAGTTGGGGTCGTGTCCGAAGAGCTTCTTGATCTGCGGGTACTTCTCCAGGATTAGCTTGCGCCGCGAGGCGTGCGGCTCTTCCGTGTACACCCACTCAAAGTCACTGCGTGATACTTTCTGGCCCATCTCGGGTGCTTGGATTAGTTGCTGTTGTAGGTTGTTCCAGGTGACGTGCTACAGGTCGGTGTTAATTGGCTGACATTATCGACCGGCGCGAGGAGGAAAACTGTCGAAACTTCCAAATGGGCGGATTGAAAAATGTAATATGACAGTGATGGAGCTGGAAAGGGAACCGATATTATATCGATAGTAGAATTAACAACAACGATTATTCGCCAAATGCGATGTACGCACCTTGCCTTCGTGTTTACTCGAATTTTTAAATGTACATAAAAGCTCAGAATTCCGCTGATAAATTTGACCATCAAGCTCTAACTTTTACTTTATCACTGTGGACGGCAGTCCGCGTAGTGACGAAGCGCACCAGGAGAGTGTGCGAAGGCGGGTACTATTTTATAGCCGCAAAATTAAAAATCTGCAGTGATGGTCCGATCAATCAAAAGGTATTGCAAAAACTAACAGGATTGCATACCAAGACTTAATCAATTTAAATTAGTTTGGGAGAGTTGTGTTCCTATTAAAAATACGCGTAATAAAATCTGACGCTCCGTTTAAAAGTTATACCCAATACAAGACTTTAGGAGACTATTTAAAATGAAAATTAATTAATTCTGTTCGTTTTTCAGGACATTACATATTAATATGTACAATAGCATTTTTCGGTATTTTTGCAACAGTGCAACAGTCACTCAAATTTGATTTACAAAAACACTAATCAACATTTTTTAACCAAATAAAAAAAATTTAAAAACAAGAAAGGAAGCTACCTTCGGCCAGCCGAAGCTTATATACCCTTGTAGATAAAAGAATACTCACTCGGTGCAGTTCCAGGGATTCCAGATTCAGCGTTTCGATTTATTTCAATTTTGTTTTTAAGTAGTCAAGAATCAAAACGCCTACTTCCTACAAAGTTACAATGAATTTTCTTATATTTGTTTGGGAGCCTTAAGATATAGTGGTCCGATCCGGCTGGCTCCGACATATGTACTACCTGCAATAGAAAGAAGACCTTCGGGAAAGTTTCATCGCGATAGCTTTAAAACTGAGAGACTAGTTCGCATAGAAACGGACAGACGGACAGACGGACAGACGGACAGACGGACATGGCTAGATAGACTCGGCTATTGGTGCTGATCAAGAATATATATACTTTATGTGGTCGGAAACGTCTCCTTCACTGCGTTGCAAACATCTGACTGAAATTATAATACCCTCTACAAGGGTATAATAATAAATAAGGAGGACTAGAAGGTTAACTGCATTAAAATATTGCTTTACAATATTGCTCTACAATCGAATGTTAAGCTGGTAGTCAAAAAAGTCACTTCTATTGTTGTAATTTGCGAAAAGCTTGGTTTTTACCATATTATAATGCTAATCAAGAGATTCAATTTGAAATGACAGATGACAAAATGTTAGTATAAGCACATTATTACATTTAGCATTTAGTCTAAGCCTGTGATAAACATTTTCTTACAGGGTTTTGTTTACTTATTGTTTTCTTAGAAATAAATTAGTTACAAAGACCACAGATTAACGGCTACTACGATATTTTTCTCAAAAATAAAACCAAATACCAGCATTTTCCTCTTACGCGGAGGGTCAAATCTGGTTTTAGGAATAATTTTATACAATATGGTTTAGAACGGCCTATAGTTTGTGTTCCGCCCCAAAAATTGTTAATTTTTTTGCGTTTATACAAATGTTTATGTCCAGTGAAGTGAAATTTCTAGTATTCCGCTTTCGTTTGTCATTTCATGGACCGACCTGGAAATATAAACATGTAATTTGTCTTCTTCTTTTCTCGATCGGTTTGTTTACCTTCGAAAGTCGACAGCTGTGCGATGCAACGGATTCGCAGTCTGAAGGGTGAGAGGTGTGTGCAGCTTAATTGATGTCACAGAAATTATGTCGGCTTAAAAATCGTATTCTCACACAAGCTCTCAACTTTGTGCAAGCGCATGGTGGAACTATATGTGTAAGGTGGTCTCAACGCAAGAGCTGCTCTCTCGTCATTTGTGCCAGTCTCCATCTAGCTATCTCATTCCATCGCCTCAGAGAGACAGCGAGGTAAACATATTTAACGTCCTTAACAGAGGTGAAGAGACCACCTTATATATGTATGTGCACCATGTGCGAGCGCGATTAGAGCGCAGAGAGGAAAGGAGAGGACAGAGAGAACGCTTGTCAGCAGTAAAAGAGAGACAGGGATATGTACAATTTTCGTGACGGTCATGAATCGGTTTTACTCTGTCCCCGAAAATCCACACCGCGCCCATGGTGGAACAATACAAGGTGATCTCGTCGCGAGAGCTGCCCTCTTTTGAGGACGTTATTTGTGCCAGACTCTATCTAGCTTTCTCATTCTATCGCTTAAGAGAGACAGATAGGTAAACATATTTAACGTCCTCAGCAGAGCTGACGAGACCACCTTGTATAGTTCCACCATGAATAGGCCCAGCGGCAAAAATTGCCATTACAAAATGGATTACAAATGCATTACTTCTCCTCCAGTAATAGGGAAACAATGGATTTCAACATGGATTACTTTGCCATAGGCATGGCCGCCTTGTAATGTGGTCGGGACACAATTTGCATTACTAGTAATGGGAAAAGTATGCAAGGCCGAGTCACATTCGGGTCTCCATTACGAGTTCACTATACTTTCCCAAAATTGTAATGCAAAATGTAGACAGACTAGAGAAAATTCAACATACATTTTGAAAAACGTATGCTGAGTTGTAATGCTGTTCATTTATGAAAACAAAAAATATTCTTTAGGTGTGTTTGTGATTTTTGACAAAAGGAAATCGTTAACGAACATAAGTACGAAGTCATAGAAGCTCTGATTACAACTTCACTGTCGAAAAACAGCGATCGTATTCGATTACAATGTCTACACTTGTAATGCATTTTTTCTCCAGACCCCATTCACATGATCGCCGCTGGGGGCGGTTAATCAGTGCTTAAAATCATAGAAAACGAAACAAACAGAAAACACTAGAGTTTTTTCGGAGAGTTGCTTTCAAAAACAACTAAGAAACTGCCTTGTTTTCCTTGTTTACTCAATCAAAAGCAACACAGTAGCCCTTATGTTGTTTTTCATACAAGTGCGTGTCAAAAAGCAAACTTAAACCTCAATTTTTCGGGGATACCGACATTTCAGGAGGTTGTTTTTAGCAACACAAATGTCGGGTTTTTCATGTCAAAAAGATTTTGAATATTGGCTACAAAAGAAAAAATTGTAAATGTTTTTCAAACAATTGCTTTTGGGTTGTTTTTTGATTGTTAGAGTTTTCAGGGACACACACTCATAGAAATTTTTACCTAAATACTAGAAAAGTCGCCCTAAAACCGAGGTCGCCCTAAAAATACGAAAAATGTTCTTATTATACGGGTGGCTAGCCCTAAATATACGAAAAATCGCCATGGAAAATATTTTTTAGGGTTAGTTTTTTCAAAAAGGCAAATTTGCCCTATTTTTTAGGGCGAAATTTTATGATGCAATAAATGGATACATACATGTAAAACATGTTATGTAAATGTGTGTGTAGTTAACAGGTCAAAACAAGTGAGTTAGAATCGGTAGCCCAGCGGTCTAAGCACTCGCACTTTCAGCTTTGCTGTTTGAAAATACAGGTCGTATTCCTGTTGGTGAGGGTTCGATTCCTGTGTGAGTCAACATTTTTTTTTTTTTTTATTAAAGATATTTTATTACTAATTAAGGTTTTTCGTCCGCATGTTAAATTTAAAGTAGTCTTAAAACCCTACATACATATGGAAATTCTGAGTTAAAAGACTAATTTATGTTAAGCATGCGAAGAAACGGCGCGAAGTATCCCAGCCACCAGCAAAAAAATACAAGTTTTTGTTTGTATAACTTAGACCGCAAGAAAATAAGATTTGTACAGTGTTTGTACGTTGCATAGCGCGAAGGGACTGTGGTGCAGCGCTAGAGCGTTAGACTCCAACTCGAGAGGCCGTGGGTTCGAACCCTCGTAGTGACACCTAATGTTTTTCTCAAGTAAGTTGTTTTTTCTCTTTATATATATCCCTAATTCGATTACAAAGATGATTTTTCAGTTATAACTGGCGATTATACAAGTCTGGTGCCTCCTGCCCCCCCCCAAAGGCATCGTCCGATATAGCGACAATTCAACAAATAAATTACCCAGCGGGAATGTGAGAAGTTGGTTTTTGTGTTCTTGAAATCCTGTTCCTTTTTGCAGGCGGCGGTGTGGGGTTAGATAATTTCTGAGCGTTAAATGGGGGTGGGTTTCTGAGAAGCATCAATATCAGGCCACTTATGCGCTGTGTGATTTCTGTGGCACTACGATTATAATATTTTTTAACAAAAAAATCACCAACTTATAATATTCAAAAATCCTATGATTTACACCAAAACCAAAAGACTTGTTCTCACATTTAGTTTTAATTTTTAGTAATTTTAAAAGTCGTAGAAAAAATATTAATAATTGTTAATCAAAAAAATTAAACTATATAACATTATTATCATAATGTCTATAATGATAATATTAATTTATTTTACTCAACATTTTTCAAATAATAATAAGGATGAATGTGGGATTCAACCAAATTATAGAGAAAAGCCACGGTAAGACGATTAAAATATTTGATCACATTTATCAAGGAATTACATTAAATTTCAAAGAAAACTATTGTTGTTTTTTACATTTTTAAACATTTTCTGTGAAATAAAATAATTTGATCGTCAGATCGTGGCCTAAGCCATTTTTAAGTGTTCTTAAAATATAAAAATTCGTGTTGGTGGTATTGATAACACGAAAATGCCTAATATACCTATAATATACGTAACCTTTAATGATTACGGTCCTGAAAAGTATTGTTTAAATATTTATTCGGCGCCAAAGTGTGACCCAACTTTACAACGAAATTTACCCCACATTTATCTGCATTTTGTATGGTATTATCAAGAATATAATGCAGGGTCACATCATTTTTAAATTTGTTGGAAAAAGTGAAAAAAAGTGAAAATAGTTAATTTTAATCTAAAAAACAATAAAAAGGTGAGTGATAAAATGAATTTTGTCTTTTTATAACCTTTATTTCAGCGTTACAAAGGTTAGTATCACAGATATTTTCGCCATTAATAAATATACGCCTCCG